GGCAAGCTCTTAATTATCTGCGCAGGAATAATTTAATCTGACACAACAGACTCTGTTCAAGACACAAATTTAAGTCAAGGATTGACATCAAATTTACGTACAGTTGGAACTGATCGGAATGCCTTCACTTGGGCCTTGGCTTCGTTTCACTTATTTGGCCTCATTTCACTTGGCCTTGGCCCAGTCATGATCACGTATTCACGTTTCTGCTTTTTCATTGCGAAGTCAGAAGCCACTAGCCAGTGAGGGATATTTGACATTTTTTCAATTTATTCGTTCAGACTGTATAATAGCAGAGTTTTTTAAATTTAAAATTCTATTAAAAAATCGATTTGGTGGAATTTTACAGATGCATGCAGATACATCTAGTAAATAGTTATTAATTTTGCCAATAATTTTGCCGCAAGTTTCATTACCATTTGACCCATTCGAATTGTATGCGTTCTTAATTGCAATCAGTAAATGTAACTTGTAACTTTGTAACTAAGTTACAAAAAATATATTGTAACTTTGTAACTGTAACTAGTTACACTTTGGCGTCTGTAACTTGTATCGGTAACTAGTTATGTTTTTGGTAATGTAACTATATAACTGTAACTAGTTACAAATAAACTGTAACTGTTACAGCACTGAGGAAATCTAAATAGTGTAAAGGGAAATATGTATTTTTGGTTCACTGATGTGAACAAAACTCAAATTTTTTTGACCTTCAACAGGACAAGGACCTCTATGAAAGTTATTGTCAACATGCATATATATATATATATAATATATGCATATATATATATATATATATATATATATATATATATATATATATATATATATATATATATATATATATATATATATATATATATATATATATATATATATATATATATATATATATATATATATATATATATATATATATATAGACTCCTAACACAGACATCAAAACAAGAAGTTCTTTTTGGTCTAATGTTCTTTTACTAAAACTGCAAACAGTTTTGTATTGTAGCCAACAAGCTCAAAACTACATTTGTTGTCATTATTGTATTTGTATTTACAAAACAAATTGTTTTTATGCTATTGAAAGCTGTCTTATTTTAATTAATAGTCTTATATTATTGTTTATATGAAGTATATTATAGTGTACAAATATACGATGTGTGTGTTTCATAGACTTACTTATGGAAGGACAAGCAAATACCATCTTTTAAATCCCCACGTCTGGCCTTGCAGTTATACTCAGCACACAAAACAGGCCGAGATTCAAGGCACTCTTTTCGATAGAAAAACAGATTTTTTAGAATAGAATGCCCTAAAATTTTCAGATGAAAAGTAACTTTTGGAATAGTCAGATATACGTTGCATTACTGTAGAAAAACTGGTAAAAGACTCAAGGAAGACACAGGATAAGAAACCAGGCCGGCAGTTTCGCCCCATTTTCGTCTTTGCCCATTCTTGCCCGGTTGAATTTTAAACTGTAAATCGTACTAATTATAACAAATATTCATCCAAAACTTGCACACCAGTTAGCTCTTCCAAAAAAAAGATGGTTCAACGGGATCGGAAACAGTAGGACGACGTAAAATGCAAAAAACATGGTTTTTCCCTATCTCGCCCTATGATTTTTGACCGGTTGAGCCGCCATCTTGGATTTTCAAATTTGGCGCGCCTCTTCAGCCAAGTCAGCAATCTAGTTCTCCTATATCTATGGTCAGTTGTTTCCCGCTCACCTGGCAAAGACGCCATATTTAAATTTCTCCAACCACGTGTCCACGCACACGCACGGCTTCTCGTGTGATCCTCGCGTCAACGTGCCCGCGAGCAGGCCCTCTAAGCAGGCCGAACCTTGAATATATATTTTTTGAGCTTGAATACAAAATAATATTTCTGTTGAATGAATATTTATGTTGAAGTTGAATGAATATTTTTGTTGAATATGAATGAATATTTATGTTGAAGTTGAATGAATATTTATGTTGAATATGAATGAATATATTTTTTTTAAAGTTGAATGAATATTTATGTTGAATATGAATGAATATATATTTTTTGAAGTTGAATGAATATTTATGTTTATGAATGAATATTTTTGTTGAAGTTGAATGAATATTTTTGTTGAAGTTGAATGAATATTTATGTTGAATATGAATGAATATTTATGTTAAAGTTGAATGAATATTTTTGTTGAAGTTGAATGAATATTTTTGTTGAAGTTGAATGAATATTTTTGTTGAAGTTGAATGAATATTTATGTTGAATATGAATATTTTTCTTGAATATGAATAAATTTGTTGAAGTTGAATGAATATTTTTCTTGAATATGAATGCAAACTCTTGAAGTTGAACAAATATTTTCTGTTGAATTTTGAAACAAATCGCCAACCATAGTAGCATTGCAAACTGCTGCTGTTGCTGATCCTGCTGCTGCTGTATTTGCTCACGTTGAAATTTTCTTTCCTCTTTTCTTTCCATTCGCTCTTTTTCCTTATTTTCTGTTTCCAGTCCCATCCTCTTGCCTAACCACTCAAATACCTCTCCTGATGTTCTCCTCTTTGCCCCTTTCTCCTTCCCCAATTGCTCGGCCAACCTCTTTCTTGACTCCCCAAAACACTCCATTGCCCGCTCTCGCATTTCCGTTCCTTTCGCTTTCTCCATTTCAATCACTTCCTTCCTTGCTATATTCTCTTCTTCCATATGTAAGTCTGTTTCCTCTTCAATTTGCATCAGTTCTTCCAGCAATTCTTCTCTTTCTGTTAATTCATCTCCTCCTTCTCCTGTCGCTCGCATCTCTCTGCCAACCTTGCTCTGTGCTTCTTTGATAAGCTGTTGTAGTGGTCCCTCACAGACCTGGGTGTCAACTCCGTGTCAAAAATTGGGTTTAAATTATTGGCAACGGTTTGCCACCCCGACCCTCTCTCTCTCGACTTTTCCTTCTTGGCGAACAGCCCCTCTGCTGCAACCTCCCTTAAAAAGGTCACATCTCTCTGCTCAGACCAGACCATAATAGACCTACAATAAAATATATTTACTAATGTTATGACAATTACTAGACATCACAATTACAAAGTTTATACAACAAGCAAATACTGTAAGATAAATATTGAAGATATGTCATATAGAAATACACATCGATAAAATATATGTAAGTTTTAAATTCAGGGTATTAAGATACAAACATATGAAAATATTAAATCTGTTTTGGTTTGCTTTTGTAACATGTCACGTGGAAAATACATTTGTTTTTAATTAGTATCTCGCAGGAAATGAGTTGTTTTTGACTCACGGATGTTGCGAAGCAACATCTGTGAGTCTTTGTGGTTTACTTGAGTGGGGCAGTTAAACAATGGGAAATGACCAGCCTGCTTTGCGCGCAGTGTTTGCCTGCGAACGGGTCTTTTGGAACCGGAAATTGGGCTGGAGCACGCTTCGCGTTCTTTTCAACTTTTGACTTTTTGACAAGCGTACGCTAAATTAAAAGGTGAGTGCTTCGTTTTTGTTTAGTTGACTTAATTGTTATCTGTTTTTCTACTTCACCCAACAGATCTGCTGTTAACACACTGATCTACCTTTTAGCTGAAATATTAACAATATTTTGTTCAATATATACACAAGTGTTCACATTTTCTGGTGCCTTTCGAGCTGTTTACCAAATTTAATCATGTTATTTAAATAATTCATGTTTTAGCTGTCACGGAATACAAAGGTCTTATTTGAAGCAACACGACACAAAATCTTGGTATTAAAGTCACGTTGCCGTTGTATATTTCACATGACTGCGCTTGCACTGTAGCCTAGTATCAGCTGGCACGGACGAGTCTCACATGAGGACGAGTCTCACAAACATACCACATGATTTTAAGACAAAAAATAGTGGATCACATGAACAGTATAGAACATGTCCTTAGACCACATATGAATAGTTCAGTAGATCATTATTTAGCCACAAGCAACATGAGGAACAGTGGTGTGTGGGGGACTGATATTGAAATTTTTGCAGCCATTCCCTTTTCAATGTAGATATTTATGTTTATTCATAGTTTGGTAACAATTATAAATGGTCTAAAAAGAAAAAGAACATTGGACACTGAGGCAGCATTACCACCTGGATTTACTTAGACACTTTACTGCCATTGGACAGCTACCTGTACCGTTGTATCAATAAGGGTGCTGTTTTATAGTTGTTCTGTTTAAATTTTTCTGTTCAACACTGTACATCGTACAGCTACGGTCATTGATGCAGCATGTACTGTATTGGTTACAGCTTTATACTTATAGCTATTATGTTTAAATTGTCCTGTTCAACACTAGATCGGACAGCTACGGTCATTTGATATATTACATTGGGTACAGCTTTATACTTATTATAGTTATCATGTTTAAATTGTCAGTCTGTTTAACACTGTACATATCGGAAAGCCACGGTCATTGGATGTACTGATACTGACTGTATTAGGTACAGCTTTATACTTATAATTATTCTGTTGAACACTATACACACCTGACAGCTACGGTTATTGTACTTTTATATAGATTTGCTTTGATGGTGTGTAGTTTTATAATAATCTATCAGATTGTTTTTTCAAGACTGTTGATATTGGTTAGGGACAGGTCATTATTTATGGAAGGGGGGGAGGGGAATTTTTTCTTTTCTAAATTTTTAAAATTGAAAGCCCCCCCCCTCCCCTAAATGGCAGAAATTTAATGATGGCCCCCCCTGCATATTAGAATATTTTTCTTTGACCCCCCCCCCATTTTCATTTTTACTCGTCAAATGGGGATACCCAGGCGTTATAGTATTAATTATTAAATAAGAATATGGAACTGGCAAGATATTAACGTCGACCAAAAATATATATTTATTAGCAGAGAATTATAATTAAAAGAGGAGTATTTTTATATATAACACTAAAATCAGGTTTCCATTTGGTCTGGGCGATTGTAACCATGTTTAAGGCTGCAACTAGACTTGATGGTACGAAGTATTGCCATAGCAGC